CTCCAGTTTAGCATCAGCCAGTTATAATTCCTCTCAATAGCTGATGATGGACAATGCGTGATTCATGACCCAGCTACCCTGATTTTTACATATTGAACTCTATGGCTGCAGAATAGTTTGTGTTGCTCAACGTCGGCTCAGGGAACAGGAACGAGAGAAACTTGGTGCCTGTTTAAAAGAATCAGCTTACTGACTGAGAAAAACTGCAACAGATGATACATTCATCAGAGATCTAGCCCCACTTCACATTAAAGTGGGCTAAAAATATAATAGCCTTTGGTCTACATTTCTTGAAAGAACCTCTAAGAGCCAGTGACAATGTTGTGATTATTAATAATTATTTCAAGTCTGTGCTACCTGAGTACCTCAGTCAAGGCTTATTATGTGACTACGGCGAGCAAAATGGGGTCAGATTTTGGAATGGAAACCTCAGACAGAATGGGAATAGGAATCTCTTTCTGCTTCCGGAGTGGCTGGCTGACTTCCCTGGCGCACCTCTCCTGGGGCAAGATATGGATGGGCTTGAAGAAGTCATATAGCACACACCACTACTGAGGGGAAGAAAACAATGCTCATAATCAGTCTTGCCCAATCCCCCCTCACTTCCTCCCTCTTCTTCATTCTCATGTTGGATTTCACCATTAGATGCAGCCATGAGGCTGGTAAATGACTTCTACCCCAAAAGCTGACAGGCTGGTTTCATGGAAATCAGTGACAAAATCTCACTGATCTCAGAAGAACCAAAAGTTCATCTGCAGTGTGAAAGGCATATCACAGATCATGAATGTTCACCTTTTGCAAGAGTATGAGACGAGCAGAACTGTCATTTTGGCACTGTTTGACACAAGACTATCTTGGAGCTAGTCAACTACTCCATTCAGTTCAATACATAGGATGGCTGTGAGTCAGCTGACATTATTTGCTCCCTAGTTCCTTCTAATAATATGAGCATAGTTCCCTCTCATAATATGAACAGTTAGGTCTCGTTTTCAAAGGAGGACACATACAGACAGGAAGAACCAGCCAAGGATGCTGATAAATAGACATCTCTTACTCAAGCCTCAACAACCGAAATGCAGTTTTAAAACAAACTTTATTCTGCTTGAAGACTTATTACAATTTTTAAAGCAACTTAAAAACAAGACACAGCTCCATCAACTCTATAGCTTAAACAAAACTTCAAGGAGGCATGTTTTCATCGTTGCCTTGTAAAGGCAATTTACAACCCACTTTACCCTCCACCTCCTCAAAGACCATTTTAAAACAAAGCAACCTTAATGTTTTAAAGACATTTAACAGAACAGAGCTTTACTTTTAAGAACAAGAATAAAAAAAATAGCAGCATCTTGGGCAGCTAATGCAGTCTCATTAGGACAAGTGCAATGTACTGTTACCAACTCCCACAGTCCAGTTGAGTCTTCAACTGCAGTAAATACAACATGAATCTACATAAAACGCTGCATTTTGGAACCTTGTCCCATGGGAGGCATTGTGCTTTGAGCTGCCCATTTCTAAAGTGACCCTGAAAGAAAATAATATCAGGATTCACTTTCCCAACTTAATACCATGCATAGCAAAAGCACTGTGTGAAAATCGGCAGAAGTTTTCCCCATTAGAAGCGTCTGAATGTTTTCCCAAGCATTATTATTTCATTGCCAATTACAAGACAAAGCCATTTCTTCACTATAGAACAGCTGACATCAAATAGAAAATTTGAAGGTTAGATTTTTACAGATTGCTTGACAAGATTTCTCAGATAACTGAACCATACAGACAAGCTTTTTTTTTTTTTTAAAGAAAATATTCAACAACACAGAAATTCAGTTTTGTAACTGTATTTAGAAACATGCTGCACCCACGAAGGTCTAGTGTGCATGTGTGTGTGTCTTGAAACAAAGTTAATGATATCACTTACTGAATTCAGCAAAATGATCATGTTTGGTGAAAATGCACCTATAATCATATCTATTAATATATAAACACAGTGACTGTGCACGCATATGCACAGATATATATCCCCAAACTTGCAAATACAAACTTCAACATAAGGAAATAAGAAACTCTTAACTTTGCTCATGGGTTTTGGTTCTCTGCATTATGTCTCATACCTTTCAAAGGCCTTGTGAAAGTGCTGCTGCAGTGCAGCATAACTCAAGGATTTAAAATAAAACAAAAAATCCCCTAAACCAAAAAACCATAGCAAAAGAAATCCCACCGTTGAATCATAGTAGATGGAAAAAATACATGTCAACAGAAATACAGAAAAGCACCGTGTTTCTTCAGTTATATCCACGTGCTTTTTTTCTGTATATATTAGTCTGTTTGAGATCAAATCAAAACTGGAGTGAACAATACGGTACATTAAGGACGAACAACTCTGCAGTGAATAGGGCCTTTGGCAGGACGTAGCCCTGTGCATTAAGGAGGGAGGGAAATGCAGAGGCCACATAATACCTAAGTACCAAAGAAAACCCACTCATGCCAATTTGAGGGAGTAAGTGATCCCTGCAAATGGCACAGACCCTGTGTAGGCAGAACTTCCCCTCAGGAAGCCCTAAGCACTCATTCTCACAACATAGTGCTTATTTCTCATTGTTGCTTGTGCAAGAAAAGCAAGTGCCAAATTTGCACACACACTATTTTTTTCCCCTGCTACAACCACAGTTGAAAAGTAGTTGTACAGCACAACAGGTACAAATGATATCCCATACTGGGCTGGGCACACTAAGGATATGCCCCACAGACATAGCAGAGGTTTTCTTAATCTGAGGAAAATTAGATCCAAATGCCTTAACTACAATAAAATTCCTTGACAAATGCTACGTGAAACATCAACTCAGATTACATATATTTTGCCTATAGAGAAAAAAATACAATTTTACTCTTAAAGTACTTAATATTCAAAAAATTAACATATGTTCAAAGAATATCTTGGATTGCTACAAGTGGTAAATTGTTGTACATTGAACTAATTTGTAACTTCAACCCCAGTAGTATAACTGGCATGCTAGAGTAATTGTTGGTCTTTTTCATAGTAGAAACAAGTTATTAGTAAAGCAAATTTACATGGTCCTACAGGCCTGAAAAGAGTGTGGAATAAGGAAAGGAAGGGAATGAAGACTAAACTTCTATTCAGAAAAAATATTCAGAACAATTTTGTAAGTAAGTGGTGAATATCCCAAAATGTTAATGTTGCTTGAATCTTGTTTCCTAACATAAATTCTAGTAAGAAAATACATCTATAGAAAAGCAAAGACAACCCATTAAAAAAAAAGAGCACAAAATCAAAATAAAATCAAAAGCCTTACAGCCTCAGAAATGAAGGAATAATGTAAAAATTAAAAGATAAGGTAAAAACTACTGGAGACTGGCAAATTTCTTCCAATTACTTCCAATAGTTTAAAAAGCATTGCACACTTGGAATTCAAACATATGTATCTCTAAAACAGAGCTATTATGAGAGAACTTCATGGGTCTTACTCTTTTGATTGTGTGTGCAACTCCCTTTAATAGTAATGGGTCTTGCCTTTGCATCTTGGGTGAAGAATAAATTCATACGTTCACTTAGTCAAAACTTTTCCAAGACTTCTCTGAACTTCATTACTTTATCAATTTGCTATGTGTGAATTTCCTCAGTGGTCAGGACAATAAACAATCATTGCAAACCACCCACAGTGAATTCCCAGCATTCCTAATTAAGCTTGCTCTAGTGGAATTCATGTATTTGCTTCCTTTAACTAAACCGTAATTCTGTAAGTCTCTGGTGCCTGAAATTATAGAAGTGTTCACTTTGACACTGCCTCAGCCTACAAACTTACGAAAAAAACCACAAAATGTTAAATATGATAGCCTAATAATTTTCAAAACAGACATTTTCCAGTCTTAATTAGCTCTACGTTGTATCCAAATTTCTCAGTAAAGGTGGGAGGTTTTTTTCCACAATACTAATACAAAAAAAAACCCTAGGCAACAGATTAGAGAAACTTCCTTCATATGAAATGAAAAATTCCTTTACATGCTGACAAAAATTCTGCCACAGTAGGTCAAGAAGTCATTTATTTACTACGAAGAGTGGATTCATTCTGAAATCGAAACTGTCTATCCCAGTAGCCAAATTTCCCGTTTTTTCTGCAATCACTATCAGAGAAGGATACACAATTTCTTGTCTTCCAAAAAGAAAGACAATCATGATAGACGTTCAAAATGCTTCAAGAAGCAAACATAGTGTGGTACCGTATTCTAAAGCTACCTCTGAAACAATATTGTTGGACTCAGTGATATTTTGTAATGTTCATATATTTTTTATTGAATAAAGCAGCTTTGAAGCTTATCAGGCACTGCCCAACAAAATATTTAGTCAAAAAAAATTATGAACTTTTAAAACTTTGAGCTAGTAGCTCAATATTCTATACAAAGAAAATTGTAAAATATTTCATAGTTTTAATTCTGAAGCCAACTCTTGCTGGCTTCCTGTACATTAAAAAAAAAAAACAAACAAACAAACAAACAACAAAATGAATAACAAAAAATAATCATCAGGAAAAATATTCTCAGGCAAATGAAAGAAAGAAAAAAGAAGACAAGGAAACAAGAAAGAAAAACAAGCTTAACCTCTAGATATGCTTGAGAGAAGACTACAGCCTAAAGAAAATTCAGTATTGCATAGCACAGTCTAAGAATTCAGCTTTCAGCAAACAGAAAAAGGAAAAGAGAAGCAGTTTGGTATTGATAGTTTCCATCAATGATAGTTAGTCATCCAATACTATGTACATTATTACATACTGTATGCCATTGAAAGTCCTGTTTTCTTCACTCTTAAATATATTCTTAAAACAGGATTTTTAAACGTCTAAAGAAAACACTTCCTGGCACTTTGCTATTACAATTACTCTGAACAGCAACTGAAGTCCGCTTAAAGTGTCCCTTAGACATGAAAGTGCCATTCTGCTACATATCATTCACTAGAAACCAAAAAATCCACAATGCTGTGTGTCTGGATTCACTGAGTGCAGCAACACTAAATCCAAGCCAGGTCATGACCACGAAATTCCAATAACCAAATGACAAAGACCTCTTACACCTTGTGTCTGGAGAATCCAATGTTCTAGCTGGTAAAGCTTCAGAAGTGGTCGTAAACAAGCACCATGGTTAAAGGCCTCTATGTCCCTGCAGGGAGATCAGGTTAGGATTTCTCTTTCTTGTGTTTTTCTTTTCTTAATTAAAAAAAAAGCACTTCAGATTAGAAATGTACGTTCACAGCTTAATACTGTGATCTCTCCCACTGCAGTTGTGAAGGAAAAGCTCTAGTCCCATCTGAAGACAGATAGCTTTGATACTGCAGCTCAAATTCTTGAGTAAGGCTGAAAGGAGCCTTCTCTCTCCAGAGGCCTCAATGTTGTCAGATCTTTTCTTTAGAAAAAAAACAAACAACCCAGAGTTTTAAGATCTTCATCGCCTCTGCTGTGCATATACTGGGTAGGCTAGTGTGACATTGAGAGAGTCATTGTGCTGCACGAGTGATGTGTGTTGATAATGTAGCACCAGTTCTTTGAGCGAGTTGTACAAGTTATATGGCTCTGCAAATCCATAGCCAGTAGGTGTTTTGTTTATCACACAGTGCTTTACTTCTCCATCCACCCTAAAGAGGAAAAAAAGCAACCAATTTTTAGTTTGTCAGTACAGTAAAGTTAAGCTAGAAAATAAGGTATTTGGCAATAAATCCTAAGATGCTAGTCACTACATAGAATTCGTGTCTTCTGTGTTGGGATAATGGTAAAAGCCTAGGTTTAACCCAAATTCCCAGATGCTATATTATCTTAGGGAGGCAGGAGATAGGCAGGACTTAGCAGCTGCACATAAAGGAGTGCATCCAGGCTTTGATTTCCCTTCTTCTCTGTGAGAAGTGGGAGTGGCACAGGTTTGAGCTGTATGGGGAATGGAGCAGCAATAAGGATGGCCTCAGGACTTGTTGCTCTGCTTCTAAGCCCAAAGGTCCAATGGGATCCACGCACATGCAAGTGTCTATCTGCCCCTGGCTCAAGGTAGGTGCCTCAAATGTTGGTTACATTATTCACAAACTAGGGTACATACACAACAGAGCAGGCATAGCAGCCTTGTTTGCTGCTCTCTCGAACAAGGAATGTTCCATCTCGCTTTCCCCGCAGCAGATTTTCAGCTTGGCTTCTATTGATATTTCCCACATTCCATGTTCTCTCATCATGATGGGGCAAGTCCTCATCATCTTCTACCATAGAGTATTGGCTGTTGAAACAGGACAAAATGTGTTTGTGAAACACATAGCACAGCAAAATCCATGAATTAAGTAGTCCCCATTTCATATTACTTGAAAAGAAGAATGTCGGTAGTTAGTAGGATGCCTCCCTGGTAAAACTAGGGGTGTAAACCATGTATTACTGTACTGTTTAAACCACTGAATAAAAACAAAATACAAGTTTTGGCTCTTGTTTATTTTAAAAATATTCATGTAAATCTGAAAAAGGATATAAAAAGATGCTGTGTTATTTTTCTGAATCTGCTGTGAGCACTTCAGTAATTCCACTGTTGCTCACTGTTTTGGTAAGTAGCAAGCCCAACAAAATCAATACCCTCTGAATCAGCTTCATTTCCAAAGATCAGAACACTTGGTCAGCAGTGAAAAATCATGCTATGTATCAACTACAGCTGCTGCTTGGGAAAGCTATAAGCAGTTGTACAGGTAGACAGATTAATTATTTATAGGGGAGATGGCTTTGTGGAAAGGGTAGAATAGTAGAGTTTGTTCTTCTCTCTTATGAGAAGAGCATATAACATAGGGCCTTCTCTACCAAAACAGCCACCAACTATAAAGCTGATTCAGAGTTGTAGAGAATCCTCTGAGCTAAAGCCCACCATGAAAGATGTCTCTGGTTCAGCTGTGTGGACACCACTTTGATATTCTGCAGTTCCAGAGCTCCCTACTCCTTCAGCAGCCTGCACTGGTAGGCCCCGCTTCTCCTGCTCAGCTTTGCAATTAGTCTGTGTTTGGCTAATGTATTTATTCTCTCTGTAATAGGTTTTTAATCGGTTTTCCTTGGTCTAAGAAAACACGACTTCTCACTCATCCACAGTTCTGTCTTTCTGAAGATTCTCAAAGTAGCCTATAGAAATCAGCAATCTCACACAGAATTCAATTTTTCAGAAAGAAGAAGGATTCTTTTGTTTCAGATGACACTCTCTCTGGGTCCCTTATCTCTTCATGCTCCTTTGTTCTGCTTTCAGCAGCGGTTCTATTTTCAACCAGCACCTAGAAAAAGTGATTCCCGCTTTTCCTGCTGTTCATTATATTGATTTTCTCTGCATTACAACTTTTTTCCTAAAGTCATATTCTGAAAGTTTAGTTTTTCATCAGAAATCTGAGCACTTACCAGACTCACTGGCAAGAAGAGTCATAGAGTGAGAGAAAAGGAAGATATTCTTTAAACAGTTTCACTTACTATTTTGATGCTACATTAAAACTATGGCCTGGCATTGCTCTTTGTCTACTGTTTAAGTGATGGGAGTACTATTGGAAACAGGTGCCTACACGTTCTCCATCATATCACCTTTCAGCTGTGCTAAGACTGAGTGAACAACATGGCTTGAAAACATGTATGCCATTTTTATCCTCTGCTTCTACCAGTGCAGCCACAGCAGAGATGCACAATTCTGAGGATAACAGTAGGACACTCAATAAACCAAGCCAAATTAAAATAGATATGGACAAGGCTACAATCTAAATCCACAAAACAGTAATTTTCTGTCTGCTGCTTTTGCTGTACGTTCAGCCAGCCAACATAAAAGGCATCCACAGAAAACTACATAGACAGAAAATGTTGATACAAAGATTACCCAGAGAACTGTGTTTTTGTTATTTGTTCATTCTTCACTGTTACTACACTTTTGATATTATATTGTGGCTTGCTTTTGTTTAAATTTGGCCTACATTCACACCACCCAGGTGCTTTCTGCTTTTTTCCCAGGAATGAAGTGAAATATATTCATGAGCCAAGCCTTGGTCAGAACCTACAGTAAACTGAATTGCTGAAATGACAGAACACTATCCTGCCATTTCCTAGAAAAATTAACCAGATGGCAAAAACAGAGAAAGACCACTCTTCAGCATATACAATTTTATCATGTCCAATAGCAATGTGATACACTGATGTGTGTCCCACTATACTAGATAGCACCATAGTACCAACAGTTGAAATTTGGAAAAAGCCTGCCCGTACCTAAAAGACCTTCTGAACAATTTATCCATTCAAATAGCAACTCTGTAAGATACTAACACCTTATGATCTTTATTTTGCTGGTAAGAATAAAGACACAGGCTAAATTCCAGTGCTTTACTATAGTAACCTGATTATGTACTTCCCTGAATAATGGAGAGTAGGGAGTGAGACAGAGTCCTTTCTAATACTTGCATGATGTGGGCTGCCATGTGTTAACAGTGTGTATTGTTACTGGAGACCTAGGCTTGAGATTTCCTCTGTGTGGTCCAGGAATTACATCTGCTTTATCTCAATTCTGCACAAGATGATTTAAAATGCCAGAAATATTTAAACTTTTTAATACTCACTCTTCTGTGTTTTCATTTCCAAGCCATTCATTTAGCTTCTTTTGTCGCACACCTTTTTGAGTCAGCCACCTGGACAACAATCGCAAACAAAATTGTTAGTCACAGAAGTTGGGTATCAATAAACCCCCCTCCAAACCTTCAAAAAAAGAATTTTATTAGTTCATAATGATACTCACATCAAGTACTGATCTCTTGTCTTCCTCAGCTGTATGAGGTCTGGCTTAATGCTGTTCATGCGCTTGTCTATCTCTCTATATTCAGCTGCTTGCTTCTTTAAGTCCTCTTCTAATCTACGCCTGCTGTCCACAATTTCACTTATTCGAGACTTCAGTTTTTCATAGTTGTGCATAATTCTGAACGGAATAATGTGGTAGGTTAGACTCTGGTGATGTCTTATTCATAACTTTACAATCTGCTATTTAGCGATATAGACACTTAAGAGAACAGATTGTTTCTCTAGATGTAGCTATACATTTTGCAATGTAATCTATCCCATCTGAGGTTTGATTTGCTAACAACTGAATGACTTCAAAATTGCCATCTTGCTTTAGTTTTAGGCAGATCTATACTTGGCATTGTTTCTTTCTTCAAAATCACACTATTTGAAATGTAAATACAAATACTGACCTTTGTATTTCTTTTTCATTTCCTTCCCGTTTAAATTTTTCGATGTACTCCTTACTGTATCTTTCTTGTGTCTGGCACTGTTCTTCAAATATTTTTATTGTTTCATTAAATGCTTCAATAGCTGTTCTTTTCATTTGAATTTCCTGAAAATAAAATAATTGTTATGACAGTTGTTCTTAGACAGAGGGGATGATTTATTGGCTTGTATCAGAGAAACACTTCAGTATATTGTAACAGAAGACTTCAATATCCTTTTACCAGAACACATTCTGTCTGCAGAGCCTTATAACACAGAGAAAACACACCTGTGGAAAAGGCTAGCATGATAACGTTTTCCAAGACAGAAAAACTGCTACACAAAGAGCTAGCTACAATAAATAAGTTATATTTGTGACAATCAGAGACTTATAGCAATGCACCTTGCCCTTCACACCAACTAATGTCCTTAGAGGCACATCTGGCTTCCTGAAAAAAAAGTGTAAGATATTGGCCTGGACAGGTCTCAAGATATCATTTAGTCCATCCTCCTGGCCCTACCTAGCTAGTCAACAGCTAAGTCTTTTAAGTCATTAGTTCAAGCTGCCCGCACTTCTCCAGCTTTCTTCAGTTATTTTTAGGTATATTGCCTGCACATTTTAAGAAGCAGTCTTGATTCTGGGTCTGTAGAACAGCAGTAATTCACTGCCACTTCAAGACTTGGATAATAATTAATTAAGTTGAAAGAAGGATAGAGGCAGCTTTTCATTCTTGCACTGTATTTACACACGACATCTGTCTATGCATAGATGAAACCAGACCCTTGAAAAACTAGTAATAAAGTGCTTTACTGCAAATGTGCCTTGAAAACTGTAACTCAGCTTGATGAGGTCAGTGTGCAAAAGTATGGGTAAACGAAGATAGTTCTGTGCTTGCTTTGGATGCAGGTGTCAGACTTGGGCACCGCGTGGGTTAGGTTACAGGGTGGGTTAAGTTACAGGTGGTGACTTTTCAAATATGAGTAAGCGATTCTACTATACTGAGCAAGCACATCAGACGTTTCCTCCTTCAGGCAATGGTAGTGGTGGCGGAAGGGGTGGGGAAGAGGATGGAGGAGGATGGCCATATGAATTAACAATAATATTCTTCTAAATCTACAGAAGTCTTCCACTCTACCTTTGGTTTCAAACCCAGCTCACCTGAGATGTTCTTGTGTAGTCTTCATAAAGTCTGTCATATTCTCGGCTTTTTTCTTGGAACTGGGTATTGTATTCATGTAATTTCTTTCCCACTGCTTCAATGCTATCCTCTTTTACAACTTGATCCTGGAATGATAAGCAGAAGGGAAGATACTCCATAAAGAAACAGTTATATTGCACAGATTTTCAAGATAAAACTCCTTAAAATGCCTAGATAGTTTCATGGTAAATGTGACTCCTCTTTCATCAATATGGAGATATAATATACGATATGCATAGTATGCAAATGAGAAATTAATAACAAAAAACAATTTTGCATTGCAAGCGTTCAGCTTTATACTGAAAATTATATATTTCATCATCAATAAGTGGGGCATTTATTAACATAAGTTTATTTCTTAATAATGTATCTGCAATACTTAAAGTTTTAACTATTCACATGCAAAATATGAAGTTGGTTTTAAATAAAAATATCCATTTTTACACCCACTTTATTTTTTCAATATTAATAAGAGCTGAAGTTCTTCAAGATAAATGACTCCACACTCTGACATATTTTCTCTGTAATTAAGTGAAACACAAAGAAAACAGACTAAATTACCTGCTGGTACTTAGATACTGGATACAGTAATTTTACATCCAGTTTAGGATTATACTGGG